CCCAAAATCGCCTCAAAATTACCCAAAACTGCCAAAAATGTTAAAATTCGCCCCAAAATTGCGAAAAATCGCCGAAATTTGCCCAAAATCCCCCAAATTCTCCCCAAACCCCACCTGGCTCCGGCCGCTCTCACCTGAGGGGGGAGGGGGCGTGGCCAGGTGACGTCATCGCTGACGTCACGCCCAGACGGGGCGGGGCCAAGGCCGGAAGCCTCAGTTTCCCTTTTTCACCGTTTTTGAGGTTTTTCGCCTTTTTTTCGGTTCTCGGCTGGGGGCGTGGCCGCCGATATGCAAATGAGGGGGTTTCCCCGCCAAAACAAGCCACGCCCACCCGCTGTTTTCCCGCCATTTGTCGGCGGCCATCTTGGATTGGAATTTTTGGGTGATTTTGGGGCGATTTTGGGGTTTTTTGGGGCTTTTTGGGCGGAATTTTTGCCTCAGGTGGGCGTGGCCTCTGATATGCAAATGAGAGAGGTTTCCCCGCCAAAACAAGCCACGCCCACCTGCTGTTTTCCCGCCATTTGTCGGCGGCCATCTTGGATTGGAATTTTTGGGTGATTTTGGGGCTTTTTGGACTTTTTTTTGGGGTTTTTTTTGTTGTCGGGGGTGGGCGTGGCCTCCGATATGCAAATGAGGGGCGTGACCACGCCCACTCCCCTCAGGGTTTTTCTGACAATTTCTCCTGGAGATTTTCGGCCATTTTGGATCCATTTTGGCCATTTTGGATCCGCCATCTTGAATCCAATTTCAGCCATTTTGGTTCAGCCATTTTGGACTCGTTTTCCGCCATTTTGGCCATTTAGGATCAGCCATTTTGGATTCATTTTCAGCCATCTTGGTTCAGCCATTTTGGACTAATTTTCCATAATTTTGAATCCATTTCAGCCATCTTGGCTCTCATTTCAGCCATTTTGAATCCAATTTTGGCCATTTTGGATCCGCCATATTGAATCCAATTTCAGCCATCTTGGATCCAATTTCAGCCATTTTAAATCCAATTTTGGCCATTTTGGATCCGCCATATTGAATCCAATTTCAGCCATCTTGGATCCAATTTCAGCCATCTTGAATCAGCCATTTTGGCTCCCACTTCAGCCATCTTGAATTGGATTTTTGGCCATTTTGGATCCAATTTTGGCCATCTTGGATCCATTTTTGGCCATTTTGGAGCCAATTTCAGCCATTTTTGGATCCAATTTCAGCCATTTTGGATCAGCCAAATTGGATCCATTTTTGGCCATTTTGGCTCCAATTTCAGCCATTTTGGATCCATTTTGGCCATTTTGGCTCCAATTTCAGCCATTTTGGATCCATTTTTGGCCATCTTGTCTCCATTTCCGGCCATTTTGGATCGGCCATTTTGAATCAAATTTCAGCCATCTTGGATTGGATTTTTGGCTATTTTGGCTCCCATTTCAGCCATTTCGGATCGGCCATTTTACATCCATTTCGGCCATCTTGGATCCAACTTCAGCCCAAAATTTTGGTTTTTTTGGGTTATTTTTGCGCTTTTTAGTTGGGATTTTTTTCCCAGCCGTGGGCGTGGCCTCGCTATGCTAATCGCCCTCATTCCCACGCAGACCCCGCCCGCTCCCCGGACGTTTTCCCGCTCTGCTCCTGCGAGGACTACGAGGACCAGGTGACCTTCGGCTGCTTCGCCGCCGGCTTCTTCCCGCAGCCGGCGCAGATCTCCTGGGAGGGGGCGGCCTCCGAGCACAGCCGGGACTTCCCGGAACTTCCGGTGGGCGTGGCCCAGTTCGGGCGGGGCTCCCGCGTCACCCTGGCCGCCGACCAGGCCAAGGGCCAAAAGTTCCGCTGCCGGGTGGAGCATTACGGCAAGAGCTTCGG